GATGTCTGTTAATTGAGTACTTAGCTACAGTACGACCTGGCTCACACACACGTTTATATCTGTCAGTATTATGCAAAGAATTTGGTTACTTAGGTAGCAGTCATAGCAGGTTTTTGCTTAAGTGAAATACGTTTAATGGTGATTAGAGTAAGGTGGTAACTGTTAAAAATAATTATAGTTATGAGTAAGGGAACTGATAATTCATCTCATCTGTGGTGGCATGACCTCTCCAGCTGAAGTAACACAGCAGATGACTGTAATATATTAAGTCAACTGGTTGATCGAAGAAACCAATTGGCCAGCAGCACACAGTAAGTTCCATATAACTGTGTAGTTAGTAATCACATTAATAGATCGATCAGTGCATACAACTGTGAGGTTAACACAGTAGTCTGATTAATGGTTCCACATTCTGAGGCTTGGGTCATTAGCCTAATCATAATCATTATTCATGAGTAATTAATGACGCGGCTTGAGTAAAATCATTAATGAATTGTTAGTCACACTGAGTATAAAATCATTTGTATTGTGAGGTGCTTAAGCCCCTTCCTGAGACAGTGACATGTATTGTCAGTTGTTCGTAGCCCTGGGCTGACTTAGCGTGCCCAGCAGGGGATTGTGAGACAAGTAGTATGCTGAGTGGTGATCGGATCCTCCGATCATGCCCCATCCCCCGAGTATGGTGGAATTTATTCCACTGGCTATTCATACCTTCTCCCTTGAGATGGCTGTTACCCTGGGGGAGAGAAATGTGTTTTTCTTGACGCTTTCCCTCAGCTCAGAAGAGAGGCCATACAAAGCTATATTTCACCCTTTTCACCATATCTAAATCTCCAATGACTCAATATTAGAAATGAGGTGCTTCTCACCAGATCTCAGTACCTTGAATTTATGATTGTCATAATAACTAACATTTTTCCATGTCAAAAGCGTTGATTAGCTCTCCATATTGACTGTGTTGGTAACCGAGTCCAAGGCAGAGCAGAGCAGGACTGGTACTTGAAGCAAGCCAAGTTTCAGTTCCGGCCTTTCAATTGCTAACCTAACAAAATGTAAGACACCGACTGTGTTGCTGGAGGGGCACATGGGAGCCGGGCTTCTAATTCCCCTACCACTAATCTGAAGTGTATTCCAGCGTCTAGTCAATGGCAGGCGTGAGCTGTGACCTCGTGCCCAGCTTAAACCAAGTGAATATCAACTATAGTTACTTAATGGCATTCAGATACGACGACCGCTCATCACTTAGCAGGACAAAAATTGATATGTATCATGTGCTGATGTCTGTAACTCATTGTAAATAAATGGTTCAGAGAACCAACAAGTTGATAAATTAGATACATATGCAACACTTGCGTATCTTTATTGTGGAAACGTTTCGACACACAGTGGTTTTATCAGTCCAGTATAAAGAAGAATGGTGAAGATCGGAAGGAATTTGATATAGAAAGTCCCTCAGGCTGGAGTCGATGTATAAATTGAGCAATTAGAATAGTTTTTGGTAAAATAAACGGAATCGTGATTTTCATTAGGGCTCTTTGTCGCACCCCCTGAGATGCAATCTCTCACCCAAGAGGGTGCGTGCATCCCTGATTGGGAACCCCTATACCTGGAGAGGGTTTCCAGAGATCAACGCCCCAGCGACCGGTTTGTGACCAGACCTCCAGGCCTCCTTTTCTAATTGATCAAATACTTCACTGAGTCCCCAAGAAGAGAAGACCTGAGGCACGTTATTCTATTATCCTACCTTATTCATTAAGGAAATTGCAATCCCTAATCTTGTGCATGGAAGGTATGGATTTATTTAAGTACAGTGGGGTGTGTGTATAGATTAATGGGAGTAATTCCCAGAGCTGGTCAAGTGTCATTCACCACGCGCTGCGTAGGTACCTACGTGTGAGCTCCATTCAATAACTAATATGCTGGATACTCTACCTGGTAATAGACCAGGTACTAGACGTCATCATGCACATAATATTGTCATCATGGATATTAGCTGTCATCATGGTCGCCATATCCAATATACTTGTTTTGGCATCCCTTTTGTGGTGGAGTTGATCACTCTGTTCAGAATTCGTTGGAAGGCTGTCGGATTCTTGGTGTTAGAGCTGGCTCTAATTAACAGTCAGTCAACCACAAATATCCTCCATAACAAACATTCCAAGTATGGGTGTAGAATCCTTAGGATGGTCAGTAAAGCATTGTAATGATCTAGTAATACGTGGACAACATGGCAGAGGGTTCAAATAATAATCATTCATTTATTTACATACGTTCCTTAAGATTTTTCAACCATTATCAACTGCTGGTCGAGTCGATGCATTCCAATGACAAATTAAAAAATTTGCCGATTGAGTCGTAATTAGTAGACAACAACAATATACCCTTCCTTCCACTACTACCACTACTTCTACTATTACCACCTCCTGCCTCTATATACACCCATCCTGCTCTCCTTTTCGTTAGTGTGTAAATGGTCCAAGTCGGACCGAAACGTCGTCGTAAGCTCCTCTCTTCTATGTGCGGGTTATTTGTGTAATATACCCTGTAATCTGGTTGAAGAATCTCGTGAATTTTATATGGTTCAGAGGATGATGTGGAGGGCAGGAAATTCTAGGATCGCCGAATGCAGGTTTGAATTTCTGATCTTTGTAATGTTTTGTGGTTTTATTTTCTTTGTTTTGCATTTGCTCCCCTCAAGGGGGGTTTCTTGACGCTGGTGAGAGGCTCTTGATCTAGGGAATTGGATCTGTGCTCCAGTTCCCCGAGTTGAGCCTGAATACCTTCCATGCCCCCCACATGCGCTGTATAATCCTACGGGTTTAGCGCTTCCCTCTTATAATAATAATAATAATAATAATAATAATAATAATAATTTCCATTTGCTGTTGTGATCAATCCTTTTTTTTCAGATTTATTTGTTCCCTCACTCATGTGTAAATTTTATGAAAAATCTGTTTTCTCTCCAGTTTCTTTATGGGTTATAGTAAGATGCATAGAGGGAGAATAAGCTTTCAATAATCACTTTGCTTAGTATTTAAAAAAAAAATAATTTTTACCTTCGTTTCTCTGGATTACACCGATGATGATATTCTCTTTATTTGTTTTTATTTAGGAGAAAGATTATAAGGGGTTTTTATTTTCATTACTTTACTTTAACTTCAACCTTAGTATGTTAGTATTGTGCTCATTATCTTTGTCATCACTTCTTCCATTAGTATTGCCATTAAAAGGTCTATATCCCTTGGTACATCATTTAATTATACTGGTCTATACCTTAGACGTCAACCTGAGTCTTCGAGATCTCTTATGGTTATGTTTGCTGTTATAATGTTTCACATCTTGCACTTTTTTTCGTGTTTAAGGCTCTCATATTTTCTTCAGCAAATTGTCACTTATCTTTTTCATAAGTAACATATACGTCACTGTCATTTCTTGTGCATTCAATCCACTTCGTTAGTTTCACTTCCATGTTTAGTTCAATGTTCATCGCCTTCATTATTCTATGGTCTATATTCTTTCAAATATATTCTCCCAATCTAATACGCTTCCCTACAAACAGAATAGCAATGTTACTTAACCGCTAAGTTAAGTCACATATTTGGTCGTAACAGGACTTTGCAAAATCTTCTCTCTACCAGTCCATCACTCTGTTGAATAATAAAATGGTATAAAATACCGACAGGTTGTTAGGTAAGACACATATGCAACAGTTAGGTATCTTTATTTCGAAACGTTTCGCCTACACAGTAGGCTTCTTCAGTCGAGTACAGAAAAGTTGATAGAAGCAGAAGATATTTGAAGACGATGTAATCAGTCCATCACCCTTAAAGTTTTGAGGTGGTCAGTCCCTCAGTCTGGAGAAGAGCATTGTTCCATGGAATGAAACAATATGGAGATGAAGTGACAGGATGGAGCCTTTTATAGCGCCAGGAGGTGAGACGTAGGTCACTAGGAGAGGTAGGCGAAACGTTTCGAAATAAAGATACCTAACTGTTGCATATGTGTCTTACCTAACAACCTGTCGGTATTTTATACCATTTTATTATTCAATCTGTCTGACACTGCAACACAAGGGTATCTTGGTACAGACCTACAATCAACTTCGACAACCTCTACTAGTGAGAACGGCTGGATTTGAGAGGGACCTGTCCTCCCAACATCTGAGTTCTTACCTCTCCTAGTGACCTACGTCTCACCTCCTGGCGCTATAAAAGGCTCCATCCTGTCACTTCATCTCCATATTGTTTCATTCCATGGAACAATGCTCTTCTCCAGACTGAGGGACTGACCACCTCAAAACTTTAAGGGTGATGGACTGATTACATCGTCTTCAAGTATCTTCTGCTTCTATCAACTTTTCTGTACTCGACTGAAGAAGTGTAGGCGAAACGTTTCGAAATAAAGATACCTAACTGTTGCATATGTGTCTTACCATCACTCTGTTACTTACGTCCTGAAAAAGCGATATTTCTCTGAGATTTCCTTTCCAAACGTGTACCTAATGCATGTACTTCAAACCCCTGCGGAACTGTCTCCCCTCGTGCTTCAAACCCCTGCGGAACTGTCTTCCCTTGTGCTTCAAACCCCTGCGGAAATGTCTCCCATTGTGCTTCAAACCCCTGCGGATCTGTCTCCCCTTGTGCTTCAAACCCCTGTGGAACTGTCTTCCCTTGTGCTTCAAACCCCTGCGGAAGTGTCTTCCCTTGTGCTTCAAACCCCTGCGCAAGTGTCTTCCCTTGTGTTTCAAACCCCTGCGCAAGTGTCTTCCCTTGTGCTTCAAACCCCTGCGGAAGTGTCTTCCCTTGTGCTTCAAACCCCTGCGCAAGTGTCTTCCCTTGTGCTTCAAACCCCTGCGGAAGTGTCTTCCCTTGTGCTTCAAACCCCTGCGGAAGTGTCTCCCCTTGTGCTTCAAACCCATGCGAAAGTGTCACCCCTTGTGTTTCTCATTATGCCCATACCACTTTCATTGTTTGTTTGTTGTTTTTAACTCTCTGACTTACCTTTGGAGTGTAAATGTTGACGAACAGACAGTCCTCTTTGCCCTCCACCACAGAACTTCTGCCTGTCATGAGGGTATCCAAAGTGTACTGTGGACATAAAGGAGGCATCTGCGACCCATCTCGTACATCATCCCAGTTCTCAACTGCTAATGGGTCCTAGAAAAATAATTTTGCTGATATTTAATTATCCTCATAAAATTCATACAAATACTTGTTACGTATATATATAATGGTAATATGTGCAAAATATTCGGATTAGATATTGTACGTTGAGGACGCACTGATTTTATGAACTGCGAAAGAAGAAACAAGATCCGGTTTGTGCCGAATAGGTAAAACTGGTCAGTTAGCGAGAATTCATTTAAAATTAAGTCCTTTCTAATATTATTGCTTATGCGTATAAAATATATTTTTCATTTATGTTAATGTAAAAATTAATAATTTTGTATCAAAAGAACCTTAGAAAACTTACCTAACCTTATTACAACAAGTGCAATTTAAATTAGCCTAATCCATTAATTTTTTATAAGTTTACAGTAATTTAATAATAAACAAACACAATGAAATATATTTTTTTCGTTACGTTCAGAATGATTTTTGCAAAATTATTGTTTACACAAATTTTTACATGCCTTATTCGGCAAGAAGAGCGTTGCTATTTAGGCCAAAGTCGCAAGTTTTACCAGTTCGGCACGATATATATAAACATTTTCTCTTTCCACAGCAGGATTCGAACCTACACACACTGCATCAAAGTGCGGAGTACTTTATTCACACAGCCAGATTCCGGACCGAAGCCAGACGGTCACTTTCCGTACTCCGGCACACCACGCTTGTACAAAGTTATTTCATAAATTCTGCCATATGCAATGAACTTCAAAAGAATTTTAGAGTGCTTAATAATTAGCAAATGGGCAAAATTATGAAGTGTGTGTACATTCGACTCCTGCTGTGGACTGAGAGATAGTTTATGTATATATATAATTGTTTATTTATTGTTGTGTATAAATTATGTAACGAAAGGTTGGATATCAGATTGCAGGGAGAGTGTAAGGAGGACGTGAATGCTTTCAAATATTTGGGAGTGGAAGAGTCAACAGATGAGTGTTTGAAAGATGAGGTGAAACATAGAATTGACGAGGGGATAAAGGTGAGTAGTGCACTGAGGAGTCTGTGGAGACAAAGAGCTTTGTCCATGGAAGCAAAGAGGAGAATGTATGAGAGTATAGTTATACCAACGCTCTTATGTGGGTGTGAAGCATTATTGGCGATTGTAGGGAATCCGTAGTTTGGAGATTAGGAGGAGGTGCGTAATTATGAAAACAATTATCCAAAGGGCTGAGAAGGGGTTACTGAGGTGGTTTGGAGATGTAGAAAGGTTGGAATAAAATATTCTGAATAACTTCGAGTGTGTATAATCTGTAATGGAAGTAAGGCAGGGTCGGGGTCGGGCTATGAAAGTTTGGTGGGAGGGACTAAAGGAGGTTTTCTGTGCGAGGGACTTGGACTTCCAGCAAGCTTGCGTGAGCGTGTTAGATAGGAGTGAATGGAGACAAATGTTTTTAAGGTCTTGACGTGCTGATGGAGTGAGCAAAGGATGAAGAGATTCAGGAAAACCGGCAGGCCGGAGTTGATTCCTGGAGGTGGGAAGTACAGTGCCTGTACTCTGAAGGGATGGGGGCGTTAATGTTGCAGTTTTATAACTGTAGTGAAAGCACACCTCTGACAAGACAGTGATAGAGTGAATGATGAAAGTTTATCTTTGTCGGACCCCCCCCCCCCCTCCTTTGGTGAGAAATGGCCGATGTGTTAATAAAAAAATAAATAAAATTAAAGAATAACGTCATTTACTCACTTTGAATCTAAGTTCTCCAACAGGTGGCTGAGCGTATGGGATGGAGTGAAAGGAGTAAAATGTTTTGCCTCCGATGGATTGTTCCTTTACACCTGACACCTTACCGTTGATCGTCTTCACCACTGGTACATCAGCTACCTTCACTGAATGCTCAGCCTCTTCCACCTCCCCCAGTGGCTCCATTTCCTCTGCCAGTGTAGGTGCCACCACCGCCGTCAGCAGCACCGCCGTCAGCAGCACCTGGCCTGCTAAGATGATCCGCACGAAGTTCCACATTGTTGTTCCGTAGCTGCTCCTGGTAATTTGTAAATCCACTTGAATTACTTAATGTTCATCCCGTTCTTTTGCAGTCTGGCTGCGCAAAACAAATGATTGAAAACGCAGAACCAGTTTTTAACCGATCAATATTTCAATTATATTCGTCTTTTGCCAAGCCATACATAAGATGCCAAATTCAGACAAATGAGCATGTATATTGTATCATCTTTATTTCTTGTTAAGGATCAATACTATTAAAGGCTTTTTCTACCATGTGTGTTTTTTCTGTCACTGTTGTTGGCAGCACGAAATTTAGATCCTCATATTATGGAGATTTCTAAGTACTATATTCGTTTGAATATGAAAATATTTAACATTAACAATCATTATCTATATAAGAAGCTAAGGGAAACAAAAAACAAATAGCTAAAAGCAATTGGTGACAAAATTGTAGCTTATCTCTACTGGATATCTTCTTGCTTGTTACTCTTAACTTATTACATTTAAAGGCTTTTTTACCCTTAAGAATTTTCCCACTTACTGAAACTACAAAAACGCGTACAGGTCAATTGTTTTAAACAAATCCCATTTCGCTTAATTGCTGTTTATTGCAGTAAATTTAAGCAAACACTGACATATTTGATAGAAAACGGTTCAGTTCTGGGACCTTGATCACTTCTAACATACAGAGGTAGAAAGACATTATATATAGGCGGAGAGTGAGGTGTGAGTGACGCATGGTGACCTGAAGAGAGGTGTGAGTGACGCATGGTGACCTGAAGAGGTGTGAGTGACGCATGGTGACCTGAAGAGAGGTGTAAGTGACGCATGGTGACCTGAAGAGAGGTGTGAGACGCATGGTGACCTGAAGAGAGGTGTAAGTGACGCATTGTGACCTGTAGAGAGGTATGAGTGACGCATTGTGACCTGAAGAGAGGTGTGAGTGACGCATGGTGACCTGAAGAGGTATGAGTGACGCATGGTGACCTGAAGAATGAGATGTGACGCATGGTGACCTGAAGATTGAGGTGTGAGTGACACATGGTGACCTGAAGAGTGAGGTGTGAGTGACGCATGGTTACCTGAAGAGAGGTGTGAGTGACGCATGGTGACCTGAAGAGAGGTGTGAGTGACGCATGGTGACATAAAGAGAGGTGTAAGTGACGCATGGTGACCTGAAGAGGTGTGAGTGACGCATGGTGACCTGAAGAGTGAGCTGTGAGTGACGCATGTTGACCTGAAGAGTGAGGTGTGAGTGAGGCATGGTTACCTGAAGAGGTGTGAGTGACGCATGGTGACCTGAAGAGTGAGGTGTGAGTGACGCATGGTGATTTGAAGAATGAGGTGTGAGTGACGCATGGTGACCTGAAGAATGAGGTGTGAGTGACGCATGACCTGCAGAATGAGGTGACGCATGGTGACCTGAAGAATGAGGTGTGAGTGACGCATGGTGACCTGATGAATGAGGTGTGAGTGACGCATGGTGACCTGAAGAGTGAGGTGTGACGCATGGTGACCTGAAGAGAGGTGTGAGTGACGCATGGTGACCTGAAGAGTGAGGTGTGAGTGACGCATGGTGACCTGAAGAGGTGTGAGTGACGCATGGTGATTTGAAGAATGAGGTGTCAGTGACGCATGGTGACCTGAAGAATGAGGTGTGAGTGACGCATGACCTGCATAATGAGGTGTGAGTGACGCATGGTGACCTGAAGAATGAGGTGTGAGTGACGCATGGTGACCTGAAGAGTGAGGTATGAGTGACGCATAGTTACCTGAAGAGTGAGGTGTGAGTGACGCATGGTGACCTGAAGAGTGAGGTGTTAGTGACGCATGGTGACCTGAAGAGGTTGATGACGCATGGTGACCTGAAGAATGAGGTGTCAGTGACGCATGGTGACCTGAAGAATGAGGTGTGAGTGACGCATGGTGACCTGAAGAGGTGTGAGTGACGCATGGTGACCTGAAGAGTGAGGTGTGAGTGACGCATGGTGATTTGAAGAATGAGGTGTCAGTGACGCATGGTGACCTGAAGAATGAGGTGTGAGTGACGCATGACCTGCATAATGTGTGAGTGACGCATGGTGACCTGAAGAATGAGGTGTGAGTGACGCATGGTGACTTGAAGAATGAGGTGTGAGTGACGCATGGTGACCTGAATAATGAGGTGTGAGTGACGCATGGTGACCTGAAGAGTGAGGTGTGAGTGACGCATGGTGACCTGAAGAGTGAGGTGTGAGTGACGCATGGTGACCTCAAGAGGTGTGAGTGACGCATGGTGACCTGAAGAATGAGGTGTCAGTGACGCATGGTGACCTGAAGAATGAGGTGAGTGACGCATGACCGGCAGAATGAGGTGTGAGTGACGCATGGTGACCTGAAGAATGAGGTGTGAGTGACGCATGGTGACCTGCTGAATGAGGTGTGAGTGACGCATGGTGACCTGAAGAATGAGGTGTGAGTGACGCATGGTGACCTGAAGAGTGAGGTGTGAGTGACGCATGGTGACCTGAGAATGAGGTAGTGAGTGACGCATGGGACCTGAAGAATGAGGTGTGAGTGACGCATGGTGACCTGAAGAATGAGGTGTGAGTGACGCATGGTGACCTGAAGAATGCCATGTTGGGATGAGGAAGGGTAGACGATGAGATCACGTGACTCCCGTGTTGTTAGAAGTGATCAAGGTCCCAGGACCGAAACGTGTTCTAATAAACATGTCATAGCGTTTGCTTACGTGTCTTTTTAAACCAACTTGTTGGTATTTATTACAAAGGTTTATACCATTGCAGTAAATGAGCGTTTATTCATGTTTAACAATTGCACGAATTCCCAAGTTGATGGTGTTGCAAAATGCTTTTTAGTTTCGTGAAAAAATGACTTATAAAGTGTCTAACATTACGAACAATTTTTATATAGAAGATACGTAATCAATTGTCGATTCGATGATTGAAAGAACCGAGATTTTTGTTTTCTTCGTCATTAAATAGAAGGCCAACATTTACTGGCTTAATAAATGTAGGCCTTAATTTACTAAAATTATCCCGATTCAATTTAGACGTAAAAAAAAAAGTCATGCATGGTAACTTGAGCCTACCAGATATGTAGGATCAATATCAGTTTTTATCACATAAATGTTTTTTTTAGTAAATTTTTGATATCTGTATATTCAACTTAGTAAGCTTTTAGTCCCCGCGTACGTTTAGGGTCACCGAAAAGGGTCACGGTCCGGGTCTTCTCCGTGCAGTGACCGGGCAGTTTTAGCCTCCAGTTAAACATCAAATTATTAGGGAAGAAATGGTATGTAACTCAAAAATTCATTGGTAATCGCAGTAATAAGTTATTTCTTTTAACGCACTCTCCGTCTCCCACAATATTAGAGAAACGAAAATTTCTTTTTATATGACGGGACATCTATGTCAGGCCTAAACTTCAGTAGGCTGTGGGGTTACAGTTGAGCCAGGTTATTGGTCCCTGGTTCAGTTGTGAATTCAGTGTGAAACCTGCCTCTCTGTGCCAGGGTAATTCAATGGGGTACTGACCTGTATTCCTCACAGAAGGCAGTGTGACTGTGATAGGCAGCTGATAGGGTAATCTCTGGTCGTGGGAGTGCCACCTCTACACATGTGTACGCCTGAATGCAGTCACCAATACTCACGTGGTAGTGTTTGGGGAGGGGGGGGTTACCTGAGAATACCTGTGTGAGTCACGCAACTGCCTGCTCCAGCTAGCGAGTCCCTTGCCCTTGGTGATTGTATGGTGCATGAATGTATTCACCTCACAAGGACACGGAGGGGAAGGACGCCATTCTCACAGCTGAACTGTAATTGACTCGCCGTCGGCTAAGCCTACCCTGTGGGCCCTCAAACTGGCGGGTTGAGGGTGCCTACGGCTTAATTAATGTATGGGATATATAATACTACAGTAAGCTAACGACTATCTCTAACTTAGAAGTAGTAATGTAGTGACTGTAGTGTATAATTAGCCTAGGAGTTACGAGGCTAATTCTTAGCATTAAGTATTTACAGAACTGAAACCTGTCTCTAGACGTCGTCTCTCTCTCTCTCTCTCTCTCTCTTCTCTCTCTCTCTCTCTCTCTCTCTCTCTCTCTCTCTCTCTCTCTCTCTCTCCTACGTCCCCATTCCCGCAGTTGGGGGTACGTGTAACGGATTCTTGAAAATACTGATATTTTCCACATAAGCAGCATCAGCATGGAGTCCACACCTTGACTAACACAACAAAAATTTAGAGGAAGTGCAGTAGTTTGCAACAATGCTACTCACGGAACTAAGGGGTATGTCCTATGAAGGAAAGTTAATGGAACTCAACCTAATGACGCTGGAGGACAGGAGAACTAGGGGAAATTATGATAAAGATGTTCAAAATATTGAGAGGAAATGACAAAGCAAACAGGAACAGAATGCTTCACAGATGAGAAATATGGAAAGGGCACAACTGAAAGCTGAAAACTCATGAATCATAAGGCTGGTAGAATGTATTTTTTCAGGAAGCGGAACAATTCGGAGAATGAAGTGGTATAGACAGGACCAGACTGTTGACGCAGGGAGAGAATGGATGTATAGTAGCAAGCAGCGAAGAGGAGGACCAGCATATTCAACCAGAATAAGTGCGACCCAAGCCAGGGAGATAAGAGATAAGGATAGATGAGTTAGTGAATACAGTGAAGAAACAGAAGAGAAAGCAGAAGCCAAATCGTGAAGCATCGTGCAGCTGCATGAGCGGAATCCAGACGACAGTTCTGCTAGATGTAATGTACATAGCCTTTTTTGTGGTTCCATGAGGGAGCTGGGCCTGGCTCTGAATTACTGATAGCTGAAGGTCATTAACCCTGCTCTGGAGAGCTGAATATCATACTTAGAGCACTTAACACTTAATAAAGCAGAGATAGTGGGGAGGGACTTAAGTGGGAGCACCAAGAGGCACAGCGACTGTGTTCACAGGCGCTAAGGTCAGACAAAATACACTAACATGGTTTATTCAGTAAGTAAAGCTATTCAGGTATACACAAGTACAGTGTATAGG